TACTACTACTACCACTGCTACTTCCACTACTACTACAAGTACTGGGTAATACTATTACGATTACGAGTGCGAGCGTTTTATGATTACGATTACCATTGCCGTTGTTATGGGTAGTCTGTTTTCGTATTGTCATGATTATAGAATTAGTATTGTTATGATCTTTCATGCGGTTATAGGGTTTCGTGAAGTTATGACTTTGAATAAATTTAGGATCCTGGGGCGTTAATGCGCAGTTTGGAGTGTTGTGTGGTGNNGCCTCGGCCACCCAGGTTCTACAAAACTTGCGAGTATTGCAAGGTGGTCGGGCATGGAGTGAAGGCCTGCCCGGTTTTGCAGCGCAAGGCCCTGGAAAAGGTCAGCAAGCAGAAGGAGGCAGAGAAGAAAGCTGCCAGCGATGCTTGCAGCGAGTCTGGAACAAGCACCACGGCCTCGTCCGAGAGAGCGTGGTGGCGGCAGCGGGCGGCAAAGAAGGGCAAGTCGAGGACGGCATGGTCAGAGTGGCGTCCGGAGCATTGGGTGCTGAGTGAAGACGAGGAGCGGGAGGCCTGCCGCAGTCTAGAGTTCAGTTGGCAATGAAGATGGGGATCATGTGTGATGATGATGATGATGATGATGATGCAGACTATTGTAGTGGTGATGGCGACTAAGATGAAGAGGGAAGAAGCTTTACACTAATCTACACTCCCTCAGAATCGATGTCCCGCATGACCCTAAAACAAGTTGCAAATCCCCTTAACCCTAAACGCCCTCACACCCTGAACCCCCTCACACCCTGAACCCCCGCCCCATTGAGTCCAAAATCCAAGCCCGTTAGACCTTAACCGTAGACCTTGCACCCCGTGGAAGCCCTGGAAACGTAGGCTCGCAAGCTGGAGAAGAAGCTTCGCGAGATCGCTGCCCTCGAGCCTCAGCCGATGTTGAAGTTGGTTTAGAAGGTTAAGTATACTTCCAGGGTTTAGGGTTTAGGGGCTTAGGAGTTTAGTTTAGGGGTTAAGTTAAGGGCTTTAGGGTCAGTATCTACACGGCGCTTGGCTGCTTTGGAAGTAGTTCTTGCTTGTCGAACTGTCCTTCAATAGGTATCTGCAACACGTATTTTTAATGCCTACCTGGGGCCTACCTTCGTAGGGGAGCGGAGGTATTTTCACGAAAACAACCAAAACCTATAGCTTGAGCCCTGCGCCCTAAACCCTTTAAGCACTCTTAACGGAGCCCTTAACGTTCTTAAAGGAACCCGAAAAGGGAGCTTTAGTGGGATCCTGATACTAAACCTTTGCAAGGCCCCTATGAAGAGCCCAGGAACAGCTGGTAGAGCAAGGGAAGCACCTGGATTCACTTCAGCTGCAAAAGGTGCGCTGCTGAAAGGGTGTAAGGGTGTGAAGTTTTGGATTCAGGGTTTAGGGTAGAGGGAATTTGATATTTGGGTTCAGGGTCACAGGGCTTAGTAAGTAGGTTGTTAGTGCAACATTAAACGTGCTTAGTCCACTGGGCTGCGAAGTGGGGATCTTAGCAGGAACGCAGGTTGAGTGGAGGGTAGTTGGGGTGCCAAGCAGAGAATCCTTCAAATAAGGGGTTTGCAAGTTTTTTTTGAACGTTTCTGTAAGGGTTGTTTAAAGACTCCAGTGTTGAGCAACCTATACAAGATGCCTACTGCCTATTCCTGCAAATCGCGACTCTGTGAGTCCACACCGATGATCGTCAGGTGGATCGGAGGAGTGAGATCGAGTCTCATGAGGTGCTGCGCAAAGTGCGCCTTGGTTACCAGCGGATCGCTCTGCCAGCTGCTTCCTAGTAGCTCCCTTGCGCACTTTGGTGGGCGCATCGGAGGGCAATGTACAGTGTACAGCTTACCACCACAGTTTTGCGGAATGCGTCATCATAGCATTAGTTGCAGTACAGTGCTGCCTACGATAGTCTGGAGAGTTGCCTTGTGCGTAACTCTGTGTGCTGGCGGCGGCAAAATCATATCCTACCACCTGACGCTATGCTTTCCATTGCGTGACGCAGAGAAGCAATATTCCATATCATGGGGCTTTGTTTGGGGCTCTTCGGTTACTGTAGGGCTTCTTAAATTCAAGGGCTGCCGGAGAAACTGCTTACAGGAACTTGACATATTGTGACGGGATTGGATGAAAAAGCCCGAGGTCCTTTTTTTTGAGAGGCTTCTGTTCTTCCGCAGCATGCCTCATCAAAACTGACTCGTCCCCCGTCGCCTCGCGCCCTGCAACGCCAATGTCGGCCGTCGACAGCCAGATCTGCTCCTTCCTACCCTTTCAGCCTGTTTACTTTGTGGTCTCCTTTTTTTGGTAAAGGCTTAATAATCGGAACGTTCCCCTAAACCCTAAAACGTAAACCCCAAGATCTAAACCCTACAATTACCCTTTTGAGCGGGGATGCTGGGTTATCAAAGCCAACCAGTCGTGACAAGCAACCCGATGGGGCCCAACAAGCAACCGCCAGAAGGCCTTATATAATTTCTATGAAAAGCCTTTTAAAGCCTTAGAATCCCCGTCGAAAATATCCCTGAATTGGGACGCCCTCCAGAACCTAGGCTCCCGGTGCAACAGCACCGGCCACAGGGCCGCTCAGTGCCCGAAGATGCCGCAGCTTGGGTGGTTCTTAAGAACCACTTTAGGGTTCTATGAAAGGGCTCCAATAGAGCAATAAGGACTCAGTCAGGGTTGCTATAGTGGGTTTTTTGGGTCTAGGGGTGCAGGGAAATACAGAACAAGACCACACAGGCATGTTGAACATGTGTTTCTTTTGTTATTTTTTCGGGGCTTAGGGTTGAGAAAGTAGAGGTGTAGACTTCGATACAGGGTCAGGCTGTTGGAGGGTTTAGTGAGGCCATTCTTCTACACGATACTTATGGTTTGGTTTGTTAGTGCTCAAATGTTGTGTGGTGCACATCGCGTGCCTTGGGGCCACCCAGGTTCTACAAAACTTGCGAGTATTGCAAGGTGGCCGGGCATGGAGTGAAGGCCTGCCCGGTTTTGCAGCGCAAAGCCCTGCAAAAGGTCAGCAAGCAGAAGGAGGCAGAGAAGAAAGCTGCCAACGATGCTTGCAGCGAGTCTGGAACAAGCACCACGGCCTCGTCCGAGAGAGCGTGGTGGCAGAAGCGGGCGGCAAAGAAGGGCAAGTCGAGGATGGCATGGTCAGAGTGGCATCCGGAGCATTGGGTGCTGAGTGAAGATGAGGAGCGGGAGGCCTGCCGCAGTCTAGAGTTCAGTTGGCAACGATGATGGGGATCCTCTGCGATGATGATCATGATGATGATGATGATGATGCAGATCATTGTGGTAGTGATTGCGACTAAGATGAAGAGGGAAGAAGCTTTACAATAATCTACACTCCCTCGGAATCGATGTCCTGCATGACCCTAAAACAAGTTGCAAACCCCTTCACCCTAAACGCCCTGACACCCTGAACCCCCTCACACCCTGAACCCAAGCCCCTTAAACCTTAACCGTCGACCTTGAACCCCGTGGAAGCCCTGGAAAGGCTCGCAAGCTGGAGAAGAAGCTTCGCGAGATCGCTGCCCTCGAGCCTCAGCCGATGTTGAAGTTGGTTTAGGAGGTTAAGTATACTTCCAGGGTTTAGGGTTTAGGGGCTTAGGAGTTTAGTTTAGGGCTTAAGTTAAGGGCTTTGGGTTAGTATCTACACGGCTCTTGGCTGCATCGAAGTAGTTTTGCTTGTCGAACTGTCCTTCAATAGGCATCTGCAGCACGTACTTTTAATGCCCACCTTCGTAGGGGAGCGGAGGTATTTTCTCGAAAGCAACCAAAACCTGTAGCTTGACCGTGCGCCCTAAACCCTTTAAGCACTCTTAGCGGAGGGAGCCCTTAACGTTTTCTAAAGGAACCCGAAAAGGGAGCTTTACTGGGATCCTGATACTAAACCTTTACAAGGCCCTTTTGAAGAGCCCAGGAACAGCTGGTAGAGCAAGGGAAGCACCTGGATTCACTTCAGCTGCAAAAGGTGCGCTGCTGAAAGGGTTGAAGGGTGTGAAGTTTTGGATTCAGGGTTTAGGGTTGAGGGAATTTGATGTTTGAGTTCAGGATCACAGGGCTTAGTAAGTAGGTTGATAGTGAAACATAAAACGGGCTTAGTCCACTGGGCTCCGAAGTGCGGATCTTACCAGGAACAGAGGTTGAGTGGAGGATAGTTCGGGTTCCAAACAGAGAAACCTTCAAATAAGAGGTTTACAAGTTTTTTTTGTTGAACGTTTCTGTAAGTGTTGTTCAAAGATGTTTAAAGACTCCAGTGTTGAGCAACCTATACAAGATGCCTACTGCCTATTCCTGCAAATCGCGACTCCGTGAGTCCACATCGATGATCGTCAGGTGGATCGGAGGAGTGAGATCGAGTCTCATGAGGTGCTGCGCAAAGTGCGCCTTGGTTACCAGCGGATCGCTCTGCCGGCTGCTTCCTAGTAGCTCCCTTGCGCACTTTGGTGGGCGCATCGGAGGGCAATGTACAGTGTACAGCTTACCACCACAGTTTTGCGGAATGCGTCATCATATCATTAGTTACACAGTTAGAGTACAGTGCTGCCTACGATAGTCGGGAGAGTTGCCTTGTGCGCAACTCTGTGTGCTGGCGGCAGCAAAATCATATCCTACTATCTGACGCTATGCTTTCCATTGCGTGACGCAGAGAAGCAATGTTCTAGATATTGGGCTTCGCTTGGTGCTGTTCGGCTACTGTAGGGCTTCTTAAATTCAATCGCTGCCGGAGAGACTGCTTACAGGAACTTGACATATTGTGACCCCGGGATTGGATGAACAAGCCCGAGGTCCCCTTTCTTTTCTCAGAGGCTTCTGTTCTGCCGCAGCATGCCTCATCAAAACTGACTCGTCCCCCGTCGCCTCGCGCCCTGCAAAGCCAATGTCGGCCGTCGACAGCCAGATCTGCTCCTACCCTTTCGGTGTGTTTATTTTGGGGTCTCCTTTATTTGATAAAGGCTTAATGATCGGAGCGTTCCCCTAAACCCTAAACGTAAACCCCAAGATCTAAACCCTACAGTTACCCTTCTTAACGGGGATGCTGGGTTATCAAAGCCAACCAGTCGCGATAAGAAACCCGATGGAACCCAAAAAGAAATCGCTTCAGAAGGCCTTATATAATTTCTATGAAAAGCCTTTAAAGCCTTAGAATCCCCATCGAAAATATCCCTGAATAGGGATGCCCTTCAGAACCTAGGCTCCCGGTGCAACAGCACCGGCCACAGGGCCGCTCAGTGCCCGAAGATGTCGTAGCTTGGGTGGCTCTTAAGAACCACTTTAGGGATCTATAAATGGGCTCCTTTGGAGCAATAGTGAGACATTAGAGGTGTAGACTTCGATACAGGATCAGGCTGTTGGAGGGTTTAATGAGGCCATTGATGGTTTGTTAGTGCTCAAAGCGCGTTGATTTTCCACAGTTTGGAGTGTTGTGTGGTGCACATCGAGTGCCTCGGCCACCCAGGTTCTACAA